AGATAGAGCCAGTCCACGGAGAAACAGGGACCCTCCGCGAGAAAAACACACACACACACACACACACACACACACACACACACACACACACACACACACACGTCTGTCAAGTTGAGGGTCTTTATACAGCTGCCAGCTTAAAAACTTTAACTGTACTTCATCTGCCCTGCACACATTTATATAAGTGAGAAGAACAAAATAAAACAACAAAAAAAAAATGTTTTAAAGGATATCTGTGTTAGACTGTGTGCTAAACTTTTAACCTAATATATCAATAAATGACTGATAAATAGTTTTGAGGTTTTCTGAGGTTTTTGTGTTTTTTTGACACTTTGGATTTTTTTTCACTCATTTTATGTGCAGTACATGACAATTTTCAGTGTTTTGTTTGGTTATTTATTCATTATTACTCAATAATTCCAGCAACACTTACATGTTATTTTTATTAGATTTTCTTTATAAGTTTTGTTTTATGATATTCTTCTGTCATCTGCTGTATGATGTTCTGTTGTATGATGGTTTTATGTTTTCTGAACAGGTCATTGTTGAAAACTTACCTGCTTAAATGAAAGTTAAACAAAAAATAATAAAAAATTTAATTTGCAAACCAAAGAATAAGTCAAAAAATCACAACGATTAAAACATTTGCAACTATTTTCTTTTGTCAAAATATAACAAATCAAAAACTTCTCCACGAGTCATTTCAATGAAACATCTGAAATATATTCAAAAATAACTTTTTGAAGCACTTTTTGAGCAGTAGCTACAAAAAACATGATTTTGAGCAGGAAAGCCTTAAATTTTTGTCTTTATCCCTGCGAGTTAAAACTTTTTTTTTTCCCATTTGGCAAATCTTAATATCTAAAGTAATGCTTGAGGTTTCCTCTTTAAAATAGCATTAACAATTCCTCATTAGAAAGACCTAAAAATTACAAAAAAATATTATTGGATCATTCTGATATCAAAAGCTTATCCAGAGATATGACTTAATTTGTCTTGTTGGTCACAATATTACATTACTTTTTGGTCTGAATCCCAATTTTATGTAAGTTTATTGAGTATTTTTTTGTGTCAATATAAAGAGGAAACCTCATAGTTTTTGAATATTAAGATTTCCCAGTTGGAAAGAAACAAAAACATTTCTAGTTCACAGGGAAAAATTCTAAATTTAAAGGCGTTTTTCCTCAAAATCAGTTTTTTTGTTGATGCTGCTCAAAATAATGCTTCAAAAATTCTTTCAGGATTATATTTCAGACAGTTCATTCAAATGATACATTGATAGGGCATTAATTCATAGCATTCATGCAATTTTTGCACACGTTTAAATCAAAACCCTATATCTGCCTGTTTCTCCACATTCCACTTTTGGACTTAATCCTTGTTTCGATGTGATGAGTCACATATGAGCTTATGTTATTTTGACCAAATTTGACTTAGTTTGATGTGAAAGATCACATATAAAAACAATTTAGAAATCTAAGAAATAAAAAAGTGTTTTGTCCCTCATTTTAAATGCTGAGAAAACAAAGTTTACACATAATTTTGCTTGTTATAACAAAACTATTAGCTACCTTCCTAGTATATTAGCTATGAACTTTGTTACAGTTTTAATCCCTAAAACTATCAGGGATTACACATACATCATTGATTCCTGTTGCTTATTATAAAGAACTTTATAAATAATGACGATATGAACACCTAAACCTAAAATTCTGTTAGTTTAATGGAGAGGTGTTTATGATCACAGTGATTTGAGTTATTTTTATCACACTAGTAATCCAACGCTCTGCACTGGAAACATGCAGGTTTGAGAAAAAACACAAAAAGAATCAGTGTTCCACTAAATCTGGGCTCATTGTTCCCACACWGATTAATGAGACTTTAATGTCCGCCGAGGAAATAAAAAGAACCAGAGTCAACAAGTTTTCCTCCAAAACTCAACCCGATTCCTCCTCTTCAGCACTGCTGCTGGCTGAAATCTGACATGCTCTTGTCATCATCCACACTGGATAGAAAAATGTGCTCCACAGGAGGGTAGCCTGGCAACATCTTTATGATGCAAAGTGACTTTCTCAATGGACAAAAATGTGTTATATCCTGCGTGTGTGTGTGTGTCCTGCGTGTGTGTGTGTTGGTCCTGGGTGAGAAAATACTGCGAGCTCACAACTCCATACGTTCCTGCACTGAGTGAGCTGTTGTGATTTTCTTACAGAGTCAGAGCAATCTGAGCACGTCTGGAACAACAATGACTTTCCACTCTGTGGCTTTCATTCTCCCTCTGTCACAGTCGGAGCTGGCTCTCTTCCAGATCATCAGCAGCGATTCTTTAGCCCTATAGAGCGCTAGCCCCGAGAAGGCAAAACAAGAAGCTAAAATTGGCCACAGTCAACCGTCTGCAATCAGTTCACGCCCACCGCAGACAGCTGGGAGATCATTCAGACCACCAAGAAAGAGTGACGGCTGCCGGTTGTCTACTCTCTGACAGCTACAGTCTGCTGACTGCAGCTCATCACTAAGTCTGAAACAGAAAGCAGCTGTGAAGAGACTGAACAAGCTAAAACTTATTTTCCACTTCATCTCTCTCCTCAAATGCCTTTAATTAGTTTGGACAGCTTCATCTTTTTCCAGCTCTTGATTACATAAATATGGTGTTTACATCAAGAAATACTTAATTACTGTTTTTTTTTCTCCCCTACATCTTACAGTTAGGGCTAAATTTCTACATCTGAGCACACAAATCATCTTTCAAATCCAAGACACTGGGACTTCTACAAAGTAACTGTACAGATAACAGACCTTAGCAAACACAAAAATGGCTTTAACTAAGTCAACGTTACAGAGTCTAAGACTCGATGTGGTATGAAGTGAATCATCTCCACCACATACTTTGAACATTAGCAAATCAGGTAAGGTCTGTGATTTAAACTTTAGCAGACAAGTCGGAGGATGATACGCATTCCTTAATGAATGTTAGTTAGCTCTAATTTATAACGCATACATAAAGCAATAGTAGCTGGTTAGCTTAGCATGAAAGCCTCTCTGGATCTATTGTTCGGTAACTTGCTGCAACTCAGCAAAGTTAGTTTGTACAAATATTACAGGCTTCATTAAACAGGCTTCAGTTATTTTTATCAGAAACAATCTATTCATTGACTACTAATTACCAAAATATCAAATGTCACTGATTCTATCCTTTAACTCAACATGTTTGGAAACATCCAGAGAGCAGCGGTTAGCTTCCACTCACCTTATTGTAGTAATGAACCTCCACCACGTGCCACTGGCCGTCGCTGACACCTCCCAGGACAAAAGGTGAAACTGTGGTCTTAGTTTCTCCTGGAGAACAAACTAATTATTGGTAAATGATTCAGAGGATAGAGCAGGAAAGTTCCATCCTGGTCCTCGAGGGCCACTATCTCTGCATGTTTTACTTGTTTCTCTGCTCCAACACACCTGATTCAGTGACTGGGTTACCTCTTCAACTTCTGTAGAAGCCTGTTAATCATCCATTCATTCAAAGCAGGTGTGTTGGACCAGAGAAATCTCTAAGACATGAACAACAGTGACCCTCGAGGATAAGGGTGGACACTCCTGGTTTAGAGGGTAGGAAGTTTTTGAAAAGTACTCGTCATGTATATATACAGCGGGTAAAATAAGTATTGAACACATCAACATTTTTCTCAGTAAATATATTACTAGAGGTGCTGAAATTTTCACCAGATGTTGGTAACAACCCAAGTGATCCATACAAACAAAGAAATCAAACCATAAATGTCCAGAAATGAAGTTATTTGTAATAATGTGGAATGGCACAGGGAAAAAGTATTGAACACACTTACTG